CAGGAGGCAGCTGATCGATGTTTCTCTCTCATCGATGTTTCTAACTCTCTATCCCTCTCCCTTCCTCTCTGTAAAAAGTCAATAAAATATATATTTAAAAAAAAAAAAAAGAATCATTGATTGGCTGCCTCCTGCACGCCCCCTACTGGGGATCCAGCCTGCAACCCAGGCATGAGCCCTGACCGGAAATCAAACCATGACCTCTTAGATCATGGGTCAATGCTCAACTACTGAGCCACACAGGCCGGGCTAGAGTCCAGTCCTGAATGCTGGGGGGCTGAGTCCCTGGGAGAAGGAGGGCAGCCTTGCGTGTCTGTGGGAAGAAAGCTCTGTGGTTGGTAACTCGGTTGGTTAGACTATCATCACGATACGCCAAGGTTGCTGGTTTGATCCCCAGTCAGGGCACATACAAGACTGAACCAAGGAATGCATAAGTAAGTGGAACAACAGATTGGTTTCTCTCTCTCCCTTCTTCTCTCTCTCTAAAATCAGTAAATTAGAAAAAGAAAAGAAAGCTCTGTGGATTTTTAAATTAATTTACTCATTGAATTTATTGGGTGTCATCAGTTGATAAAATTATAGGTTTCAGGAGTCCAGTAATACAGTATCTGTATACTAGAGGCCCGGTGCACGAATTCGTGCACAGGTGGGGTCCCTCGGCCTGGCCGGTGATTGGGGCGATCGGGGCCAACTTGCCCAGTCCCGATAGGGGCAGATCGAGGCCTGCCGGTGGGGGGTGGGAGTAGGGGGTGGAGGAACGGGAAGGGAGAGGGATAGAGAGTCAGAAACATAGATGAGACAGAAACATCGACCAGCTGCCTCCTGCACACCCCCCCCTGGGGATGTGCCTGCAAGCACATGCCCTTGACCAGAATCAAACCTTTCAGTCCGCAGGCCGACATTCTATCTACTGAGCCAAACCGGTTACAGCAGGCCTTTTTATATATATAGATTGTGTTGTGTGTTTATTACACCACCCCCACATGATTTCCTTCCATTATCATTTATTCACCCTTTACCGCGTCTTGACAAGGAGAGAAATAGGGGCCTAGACTCCTGGGCTCTGACGTGAGAGGTGGGTCACCTGAAGCCAGAGGACAGGAGGAGGCTGCCACCAGGTTGAAAACTGAAAGGCCTGCATCGGGGATACCCCTCAGCTGCAGTCCGGGTTCCTT